AACCCCCCTGGCTAAGAGCATGACATAAGACTGTAATAAGGGACTGTACGATATTTACCGGGGGGGAGGGCTGGTGCAAAATGGTCCGGTAAAAAATTTTTTCCATGGCCCTCCCCCGGCTCAAAATTTTTTTCAATGGCCCTCCCCCCCGGCTCAAAATTTTTTTCAATGGCCCTCCCCCCAGCCCAAAAAATTTTTCGGTGGCCCTCCCCCCCATTTTTCAAGTCCATGTCTCTTTCTCCCTGCGTACGAATGAAGTACGCATCCCGATTAAAGTACGCACCCCCGGTTTGGGGCTGGTGGGAGACAAATATTCCCGTCTGAAACGTAAAATGGAAAAACTCGAATTAAGTACGCACCCCTTCTACGCACGGCCGGTACCACAGTGAACATGTAGTATGTGTGTCTTAAAGACAGTTCGTCGTTCCAAACAAATTTAAAATTGTTAAAAACTAGATTTATGCCGTGTACTACGTGATCGTATGGTAACGTATACGTAGCGCGAAACGTTTCAAGTTTGGGCTTGTTTTTCACCGCCGGCCGCAGCCGACTTGCAAGACGTCACCACCGCATCGAAAGGTAAGGCAAGTGCGGCGAAACGCACAGATTTGGATCCAGCTTTGGAGTGTTGGTGATCAAGCAAGCAATGGTCAATAAATATTCGTGAAAAAAAGACAATATTTCAATATTGATTTTATCGGTAACGGGGGGTAGTTGAATGTTGATGCACAAGTACGTAGCTTTAATATTTTTAATACGAAATGCACCGAACGCATCTTTAATAGCGCCCGCGCGATCGACCCATGGAGAGCAACAATCAGACAGGCGGAGAACTGGGCGGAGTATTTGGGTGTAGAGGTGCTACCGAATTTAAAATTTGACACCGAAACCAATTAACACAACAACAGAAGACTACTGGGATCAATGGGACTTGCGATTCCGAACAGGAGAAAGTGACAAGTTTGACTGCGTTTCAAGTAATCTCTCGTTATGTGATAGATATTTTTGTCACAAAATCAAAGGAATAAACACATGTATTAATTTGTACTCCGTAAAATTTATAAGTACAGTCTGTTCAGAGGAAAGAAAGACCTTCTCGGGGTCCATGTTCTGGAAAGCTGTCCTCAGCGCTGCGCATGCCACGGCCCTCTCTGTGATCTTCAGCTGTAGGTGTACTTTGCCTGTCGGCGCGCCAAACACCCCACCCACCGGCCGGGCGGTAAGATTTCATCAAAGACTACATTTTAAGTTAACTCCGCCCCTATCATTGTAGCTTGCCGAACAGTCGAGTAGGAGTACATCTAGCGCTAGCTGGAATTTTCACGTCGTATTGGCTGGTGTAGCCCGCTACAGAGTGATTTCCTGTGGCATTTATCAAGATTTAAAAATATTTGTGATACGAAGTGAAACATGGTTAACAATTTCTGAACCTTTGAAACGACATGGGCAAAATTTTTGTTGAAGATTGCTGAGTTGAACTCAAGCCGGAAGTGTATTGGAAATGATGACCGTCAGTCGAGGCACAACTGTTATGTTATCACATGTTACGTTACGACGATCAAGAACTTTCACGGCTTGCGGACCATTTCAAATATTACTCATAAACCCTACAATTGTATGTGTACTTACGGGAGGTTATATTTTTGCCGGAGTTCCACTGAGATCGGCGCCGGCTAGCTGGGGAACGATCCGGTCGGCATGACAAAGCGCCGGGCGTCATTGCATGCCAGAGACCTACATTTTCTTACCGTGGGTGACTTTACTTCTTCTTTTACCGCAACTTGTTGTCAATATCGACGATAGTCACAGGAAATATGTTCATTTATTGAAGTTTAACTTTATTTCCACTCGTCAATATTCTTATCTAAACATGCTACAGACGATCGATGTTCCATGCTCCCCGTGCCGGTGTTCCACTATATTCCTGGGTCGTCCACGGATTTGTCGGCGAAAAACTCAAATAAAGTACGCACCGCGACTTTGGCGACGGCCCGCGAGACACTTCTGGGATTTTGAAAAATGTAAAAAGTGCGTACTATATTCGGGAATTTACGGCGTATTTCTTGTAATTCGGTACTACGCGACGCCATATTTTACAAAAGTTTTTCGGTTGGCCC